CCTGCATCTTTTCTCCCTGGGTTTTCCTCTGTGTGTGCGTGCCCTCACTTCCACCCCACTTTCCTCCACATGTGAATGCACACCATCCCAAAGCCCTCTGGCTGGGGTCTCCCCCCTCCAATTTCCTCCCATGGCCTCACGACTTTTGGGAAGAAGCGGGGGGGGGGGGGGGGGGGCCACCGTGCCTGCACTCCAGGCCTCGAATTTGTGGCTTGGAGTGCAGGCACACATGGCTTCCCCCCTGCTTCCCCCTCAAAGCATTTAAAGAGATCCTTTAAATGCTTTAGGGGAGAAGTGGGGGCTGTGCATGAATTTCAGTGCCCCCCCAGAGGCCCCCCCAAATTAAAAAAGTTCTGGCTCTGGGCCTTACTGGGCAGAGGCATTCCCTTCCCCAGCATCATATTTTGGGATATTCATGGATGTGGACGTGGTTTAGGCAGTAACACTTTGTTGACGTGTGTCTCTCTCCCTTGCTGCCCCTATGGAAGCGAAGTTTTCCGCTCCTGCAGAAAACAAAGTTACGGTAGGAATAATGCTGGCTTATGTTTCTCTTCTTTGGCTCTGTCTGCTTATCATCCTCCGTCCATGTTCCCCAGCTCTTTCCATCTTTGTAGTCTTGCCGCTTAGGGTTGCCAACCTCCAGGTGGTGGCTGGAGATCTTCCATTATTACAGCTGATCTCCAGGTGGCAGAGATCAGTTCGCCTGGGGAAAATGGCTGCTTTGGAAGGTGGACTCTGTGGCATTGTAGCCCCCTGAAGCCCCTCCCCTCCACAACCCCTCCCCGCCCTCCTCAGGCTGCACCCCCAACATCTCCAGGCACCTCGCAGCCTGTAGCTGGCAGTGCTGTTGCTGCTCTCTGATGGGCCCTAATCTTCACCTGTAGTCATTATCTACTAGCAGTGTTAGATGTGCAGTACTTTGGGGTAGAGTGCTGGAGAGAGGTTTCTGTGTATGGTAATCTGCATGTGACCATGTGGTGTAACAATCTCCCCTTTCCAACAGCTTCCCTGCATAATTTTACGATGGGAACAATTTTTATCTTCTTGCAATATTTACCATTTATTTGGATGACTCTATTGCTGACCATTGCTGAGATGACTCAGTTATGTGCATGGTTTTCCTAGCTTGTGAGTTTCAGCAAAGAAACAGCGCAGGAGCAGCTGCTTAACATATTCTTTTATAGAAAACTTTTCTGCTCAGGAATTGCTCCTCAACCTGTTGGGGTTTTTTTTGGGGGGGATGTCTTCTGGAAGAAATTGTATGAATACACCTTCTCCCCTGTGGCCCAGCTTCAGGTGCCCCCACCGTCAGAGGCTAGATGGAGGGCAGCCCAAGAAAGGGCTGTCTTGGCCATGGCACCAGAACTCCGGAACTCCCACCGCCTCCCTCTATCGCTGTCCTTCACAAGCAGGACTTTTTTGTTTCATTTGCCATGCCCCCATAACTGTCATTGGCCTCCTCCCTGGTTTCTAGTGCTTTGTCTGTTTATATTTTTTTATAATTGAATTATTGTATATATACTTTATGTTAAATGTTTTGAATCCTGAAATGTTTTAGTGTTTGATGTCCGCTGCTTTGGGGCCATATTTGGGTGGAAAGGCAACCTAGAAATGTCTCAAATAATGTAAAAAAAATAGTACACTGAAGTCTCACTGTGAGTTGCTTGCCACTCACTTGGCATACTTGTTTCACTGGCCTTTTCTCAGCTGGCTGAGCCCATCCCAGCCGTCCTTTCCCATCACCCGCCTCCCCCTTTGGTCACCTGGGAATTCCTTGGCTGTGCTTTTGCTTCCATGATGCAGGGAACAATTCTCCATCCTGCTCTCCTAGCTGCTGCTATTGCCTCTGCATTCATAGAGGCAACAGAACTTCTGCATGGAGATATTCATTGTGATATTTCCTCACACTTGCTGTTTACCCCACCACTCCAGCAACTGGTGCTGCTGTTGTTGTTTTTAATTGACGGCAGGTATATTGTTACATAGTTAGGATCCTATAATGATATATCTACTTGTGAAAAAAAATGCTAGCAAAAATCTTGCTGGTTGTTGAGAAGAGGAAATAGTGGTGAGGGAAATGGTGCTAGATGTAGGTGAGGAGCAGTGTTCCCTCTAAGCTGAGTTAGTGTGAGCTAGCTCACAGTTTTTTACCCTCTGGCTCACACATTTTTTTCTTAGCTCAGAAAGGAGGGCTCCAGAGCAAACTAATTGATGCAGTAGGAAAATTGCTTGCTCACGACTTTAATGCCAGTAGCTCACAAAGTTGAATTTTTGCTCACAAGGCTCCACAGCTTAGAGGGAATATTGGTGAGGAGCTATGGAAATCTGTACCTTGCTGTCTACAATTCTCCCAAACTTGCTTTGGATAGGATGTTTCGGGGGGCAATGTTCCAAGCAGGCTTGGGGAAAATTGCAGCAGAGCCAGAGACAATCTGGAAGGTGGACAACCACTTGATAACGTCATATAGAAGCCCACAAAAGAACCCCTACAGTTTGGGGACAAATGTGGGTAAGAATGCAGTATAGAAGCTTCTCTGAGTTCTGGGATAGACTCCAGGGGAAGGCAATGAAGACAACTGCCCAAAAAATTACCTATAGTTGCCTTAAAAACAACCCCCCCCCCAAAAAAAAACAACAACCCACACAGGGTCCACCCTGCCAGAAAGGGATGTGCTCCTCAAAGCTTTGCAGTTCATTCAGCATCAGGTGGTCTCTCAGCCTTGGTCACAGAAAGACATATTGATTTATTTTAATATCCTGTTGGTCCCTGAGGATGTAAAATGGCCTATACCTTGCCCATACCTACAGATCACGAATCCACTAAATGTCCCTGAGATTACTGTGGTATGGAGAGGCAAGCTACATGTTACACACAGTTGCACAGTTACTTTCACGTAATTGCAGTCAGGAGCAGAAGAAGGGCAGGTGGAGAGTGCTGTGTACCTCTGCACAGCTGTGGGGGCTGGAAAAGTACATTTTTTTAATGATGAGAGTTGAATTTTCTGAGATTCTCCTCAGGACTTGTAAGTCACGTTGAGTCTGTCTGTGGCTCTTCTGTGTGTTTGTGACGAATGGGCAGCCCCTTCGATGACGATCTGGGCTGTGGTGTGTCCAGCCAGGGCCCCGTCTTCACCCGTCTCTCTCTCCCTTCAGACTCGGAGACAGGAGAGGAAGATGCCAGCAGCACACAGGTGACCCAGCGCAGCCAGCTCCAGGATGAGACAACCTACAGCTCCCCTACAGGTGAGCGGAAGCCTGGCTGGGGGTTGGGGTTTTGAGGTCTCCCCTGCCGGTGGCCTGGGGGGGGGGGGGCAATCCTTGAGGGCACTGAGGAAGACCAGAGGCACTATACCGAGGAAGGAGGACAGGGACTCAGCAGGGTCTCATGCCACAGACTCCACCAAGGCATCCAGTTTCTCCAGGGGGACTGATCTCTGTAGTCTGGAGATGAGGTGTAGTTCTGGGGGACCCCCAAGTCCCACCCCTGACGTCCTGGTCCTCCTGCCTCATAATGATCTCACAGTTCCTTGTAGCCTCCTGCGACAAAGGCAGCCTCTGTCTGAAGCACTGACCTGGCTCCTGTCTCTCCTGGGGGAGGCTGCCCAGCTCTCTCGGAGTGCTGCTGTACTAGGAGCTTTCCCCCCCTTCAGGCGCCCCAGATTCCTGTTGCCAACAACCACCCCTGGAGCAAGAGGACGACTGCCCCCCAGAAATCACAGAATTCTCTCATGAAAGCCGGCACATATTAACTGGCACAGAACATTAATTTAACAAAGAGAGAACTTTGCTATCAGAGAAGGGCTCAGCAAAGCATAAAGGTCACTGAGATTCTACAAGAATAAAACTGAAAAGCTACAGTCCTTAACCAGCCTCCCCACCTCAGCTCCCTTAAGTGCACCGTCATCTTAACAGCCTTAAAATGACTCCCCCGGATTGACAAGGGAAATGGACAAAGTGTGCTGCAGATTCACACCTCCAAATCAGCAGCTGGGTTTTCATCAACAGGGACCACAGTTTGAAGTCAGTGTTGTGCAGAACTAGACCCTAAGTGACTACCAGGGACTGGGCTTTTGGTGATGTTTCAATAAAGAAACATCACCAAATTCACAACTTGCCACAATGTAACAGGGGCCTTCACTGAAGAGGACTTATTTCCAGGGGATGAATTTTTCATGGGAATAAAACACCATATTAAGTCCTGCATGGAGCTCCCATCTCAGTTCTACTTGCAGATTAATGCAGAAAAGAGATTCTTCAGAGCACAAACAGGTCATCCCTGAATTCCTTGTTGAATTCCAAGGATGATTAAACATGCCATTTTTTAACCTATATATGCACGACGGAAGACAGGAGGGCCTGGCGTGAAGGGTTGCGAAGAGTCGGACTCGACTGTGCCACTGAACAACAACATATGCTCTGCGCTAAAATAAACAAATACAAATTCTGCACCTGTACATTCCAAATTCTGCAGTGAGAAATGGTGAAATCTGAATAAATGAATCAAAGTTGGTAATTTGCATAATTTATCTCATTTTTACATTGTTTCTGCAATTTCTACTGAATTGCATAATTAGTTTTTGTTCCACTGCAGATGGAAACAGTGCCCACACTCTCTCAAGCATATCTTGGCCAGAAGGGCTATTGACTTGTTCATTTTTTAGAATAAAGTAGAAGCGGAGGCTCTCAGGATGTTATATTTTGTACCCAGTATGATGTACCATGCTTTTTCAGCACTCCTGAAGAATTTACTTTAATGATACTCCTCTTACAGCCAATTTGGCTCTGAACAGTATCACGCTACATTGCACAAAAGGGGGGGGATTTATTTAATACACATGTCTATATAATATAAAAATTAATTATTTTAAATCTTAATTGACTGAGAAAAGACTCCTGAAGAATTAAGGCATAAACACAGCCCGTCTATGAAGCCCCCAAATAGCCTGGACTGGAGATGCGCCAGACGCTGCCTTTCTGCGTCAGGGGGAGGCCTCCTATTGGCTGTCTTTCCCTGGACCAGGTCTGAGCAAGAAGAGCCCACGGAGAGGGAGTCTTGATGACTGCCTCACAGTTGTAGAATTCTCCTCCCCAATTTCCCATGATTGGAGGGGGTTCTTCATTGTTTTTTATCATCCTTGTTCCATCTGCTCCAGTTTCCAAGCTAGGCAAAATTATGCCAAATGAGATTTTGTTTACAGCCTGCTGCCGGGTTTGGTTCAGAGGATAGAATTTTTATTCCTGTTCAGCAATAGATTTAGGGTAGGTGTTCTGGGGCAAGTTATTCTCTGTAAAGTAGGACCTTTTCTGTACTCTCAGCTTACTCCTGATTTTGCTGGCAGTCAATCCATAAGCACTGAAATTGGTAGGGTTGCCAGGTCCCTCCCTACCTGGCACCCAGCAGGGAGAAGAAGCTCTGTGTCCAGGAGTCTCACACACGTGCTGCAATGACGTCACCCGGAAGTGATGTCATTGCACTGGGCATGTTGTCAAGGGACTCTCTAGTGTTTGGTCTTAAAACTCTATGGTACCATCGACTGCTAGAATTTTAGTGCCATTTTTAGAAATCCGACCTCTAAAAGGGGGGAAATGTGCTCACCCCATTGATTCCTATGCGGCTGCCAGGCATTCTCTGATTGGTCAGCTGTAGAGCTCAGCATTCTGAGGCAAAAAACCCCAACAGTTGTCTGGAGAGGGCTAATGACAGTTGAGGAAATCACGAGTGGCCAAGAACCATCTGTGACCTTAAGCAAAGCTGCTGGCCCAGCATGGCAATTGAGTTAATGAATGTTCATGGGGAGATAGTAAAGGACCTTTCTAGGAGCCATTTTGATGTGTGCCTCCCTCATGAACCTGAAGAAATGTCCACCACATCACCACTCCCTCACACCAACTCCCCCTCTCACCTCTTACTGCCCCCAAGAAAGCACCCGGCAAACGTCAAGCCAGATACACCAGTGCTACCAGGAAGAGGCAATTTAGTAATGCGGCAAAGACATTTGCACATAGTACTCCTGCGGGGCACTGAGCTGTGCAGGCCAAGTACCAGTGAGATCACCCTGAGATTGCTCAGAACAACACTGTCTCCATATGAGCAAAACAATCCAGGAACACTAGTAGAGAGGCCATCACTTTCGTGGAAGGTAGCAGGAGTGGACTTAACAGATGACTGCTTCTTAAATGGGCAGTCCTATGTGGCCTGCTCCAGAGTGAGCTCACCAAGCAGCCTGGTCATCCTAGCACCTGAGGGCAGAACCACCAATGTGGTCTAGAGAGAGGTCCTTCGGTAGAGAGAGAGAAAAGTACGTATGTCTCACCCTGAGCAGAGTTGCATTCTTCTAAGTCCATGGATGGGCACAATTGCACTTCAGATTGCACCGTCTGTCAGGGATCTCCCATATAACCTGTTGCTTGTCTCATAGTGACCTACCTTACAGGGTCATTGTGAGGGCAAGCACAACTATGATTGTAGTGTGCTGGTATCAATTTAAATCATTGTTAATAAGAAAT